CAAATAGTTATATGAAAATTTATATTAAAATAAAATACACATTACGTGTGCGAATGTTAAAATGTGGCTGAATATTAAAAGTTTATAATATGTGTTTAGTCCCATTTGTCTTGAGGTGTTTATGACAGCAACGTGAATATTTTTATTTGTTGTTGACAGCAACGTGAATATTATTTTCTATTTGGTGTTCGCAACAATGTGAATATTTTTCATTTGGTGTTCATAACAACATTAATATTTCCTATTTCAATTTATGTATGATCCCATATGAAGGTTATCTGTTAATCACATGTGGAGTCATGTATGATTATTTATATCGGTTGTAGGTTGAAACATACCACCCATTCAACGTACCGGTGCATGCTTTCAGTTTAGGTTACAAATTGTTCAGTCTATATATATATATATATCATGTCTCAAATTCATGTCTCTATACTTACAGAGTCATGCATGTTGCATGCATCCGTACGTACGGTTTGTGATCTCTGCACCGAGAGTTATGTATATGGTATCTTAAATGTGTTCTGTTATAAAACCATAACAAACTTAATTGGAGTTTGGACGATTATTCTAAAAATAATTACATGACTGATATAAGATTTATAATTCAATTTTAGTACTAAGATTCTTTTTATAGTATGTAAAAATTGTATAAAGTTTGATATCTAATTTTGTGCCTTAGTAATCTTTTATAAATATTAATTAATTATGCCATGCATCACTATTTAAATATTTTATATCTTTAATGATATACATGGCATAATTAATGATTAAATATTTGGTTTCATAACATATATGAATTGTGAAATTATACATGTTATTGAATTATATACATAATTATGTATGTGTCTCATGTTTCATATTATTGCATAATATGTATATGGTATTTTGATTCATTCGGGAAAATTGAATCATTTTGCAATCCTAAGCACAAGTGCTATTAAGTTTGATCGAGTGTTTAGTCACCAAAGTGGCACACTCATGAGAATTTTAATGGTATTTGTAATTAGTGGTAAAATTATTATTTTGCTATTGAAGGATTGTGTTGGTGTTTAGTAGAGACAAGCAATGATCAAGCTCAAAGGAGGGTCATTGATTTTGTCTAACTAAGCGGATTGGGGTAATTAATACGGAATACATAATTGATGACTTATTACACCCAAATGAGTATAAGTTGTTATTGTGTTTTCTATGATTAATTAGTCTCAAAAGTTAAAGTTATTTTACCAGTGGGAGACTAACATATGATAATTTTGGCCCAAAGGAAAGATTATTATATGTTATTTTAATCCCATTCAGAGTTAATTGTTTTGAGACATTATTTAAATTAACTCTGGAAAGTTTAGTTGACTTTCCCATCAATTAAACTGTAAATTAATGGCCTTAATTATTCTCAAAATCAGTGAGAGTAAAATTCATCTTTAGTGTTAAATATGAAAGACAGTGACATTATTGTACATGAGATTAAACAATTTAACTTCTCAAACATTTGAGATGAAGGTATTGGTGAAGCCTCTATATTAGCATTAATTTTCACTTAAATAATTCTTGTGAACATATTGAATAGTCACAAAGAACCTACTTAGATAGAGTTCTAAAAGTACTTGACATATATAACATTATAAAGGTGAAATTGCACTCATTATAAATGTGAGAATTTGATATTCCAATAGTCAAGAAATACCTAGAGTAAGATTAGATAAAAGGCATTTCATATTAGCTTTGGAAACCTAATATATGCTTAGGTTTTGCATGTGGTTAATTATATATAGCATTTGTTAGGCAGATATCGCGTGATCCTAGTTTGGATCTAAAGTAAGCAGCAAATAAATTTATAAGGTATTTGCAAAGGATTAAGAATCATATGTTTTATAATAAGACCGATAATTTTGGGGTGGTGGAAACTGACTTTGCTGGTTGTCAGGACATTATACAAATCTACTTCAAGTATTATTTTACTACTAGGATAAGTGATAGAAGCGGATTTTATTTGCATGTTATAAGGCCACGTTTCATGCATTATAAAATATCAGTTTTGGACTTCAAGTCAATAAATCCTGTTACAATTTTGATTTAAAGAAACAATAAGAGTTCAAGTTGATCTAAAATATGTCCGTTAATACCTTGTTGTGAAATAAAGGATACATAATCAGCTATTGTCTGATTAAGCACATTGATACACAACAAAAAGATTGTTGATACCATGACTAAGAGTTTGCCATTAATATTGTACAGTAAGCATGCATATTTCTCTTTGACAACTAATTTACTTAGTTAGTGGAAGGCTGTATTTGGCTCAGGCAAAGACAGTTTTATTTTGTGATCACAGTTATTATCCTCATTTACTGGATTTTCCATATTAGTACACATGTGAATGGAAAATTTGTGACTTAAGTGTCCAGTTTTGAGACACGGTGTGTCCTTATTGAGATACGGTAGGACCGATGCATGGCAAGAATATTCTGTTGAATATATGCATATGCGGTATATATGTGACTTTGTAGTTGAGTTTGTTAGTATCAATGACCATTGGTGTCTTATATCATTGATGATATAATAATGCCCTTGATTCCATATTAGTAGACTCGAAGGTACTCTAAATTGAATGGTAGAGGTGTTTATTATAAATATATTAATTTTTGCAATACACTCAATGATCATTTTGATCTTAAGTGATCAGAATTAATTATTATTAAACTAAGTAAACAAATTGGTAGTCTATCAATAATTAATTAAATATATTATTTATATATGTATATAAGAGAGGTTGCACCCTTAGAATGAATAGTCACATATAAAGAGTTGTGTCAGTTGATGGAACCAACACATCTCCTCACGTATAAATGAAACGATCCCAACCCTCACTATATACATGCGTAAAAGGACTTGAAGTCCATCATCTAGTTTTGCAGACATAGGAAAAGGGTTGAAGATTATTTCCGCTATAATTCTCTCCAAACTGAGTTTCTGTATTTAATATGTGATAGTTCTCTTCAAAGTGAGTTTCTGTATCTGGTATGTCTTCTTAACAAAATTTATGCATTTAGATCCATGAATTTATTTATTATTAAAATTCCTTAAATATATATCATATAACAAATATATAAATAGATAACAGAAAAGAGTCCAATAATATAAAGATTTAAAGTTCGAAATACTATGAATTTAATACCAATACCAAGTATCAAAGTTAGTTTACATAATAACTGCTATCAAAATAAATGATAGCAGTTTCTTGAATTTTGACTAAATTGTATCATAATAACAATGTAAATTAATATCATGATTTTCGAAGCTTTTGATATTTGGGGGTGGGGGTTAAAGGACACGAAGAAGAAATTAGGGATATTCGGATAAAATAAAGGGTATTATGGACATTAAAGTTAGATAGTCACTCATTAGCAAGTACTACATATATTTCAAGTTTGGTCACTATATACCTACTTTTATTGAGTTTAAGGTCACTATAAAACCAAAATTTAATTTTCCGAAAAAAATTTCGTGTAATGCTCAAAATGACAAAAACTAATGCCCCAATCAATTGTATCAGGGCACTAAAACTGAGTAAACCAAGCTCAAAATCGAACCACATGAGTAGAACCACCAAACCAAACATAACATAACCACAAATCAAGCAGGGTATACTCTCACAAAATCAAGTAAATGCCCCAACAATTACGCCCCTAATTTATTTTGAACTGGACATTTTAAGGTACAATTTGATAAAATTAGAAGTCAAGTATTAAATTTTATTGTTAATCATAAACTTCACTTCTAGACCAAATTCATTAATATTGGAATAAAATAAGAATGATGATGAATCATGAACTGAAAATTTCTTAAGTACTTTTTTTAAAAATTGATCGTTCAGTGATAAATGAAATTTCTCTCTCACTGAAAATCCTATCCCATTTTTAACGATATTTATTGTTTTAAGTGATATTCAATTTGCATAACAAACTATTTTAATTGAATAAGAAGTTAAGTACTAAATTTATTTAGAATTAAGTACTAAATCGCTTATCAAACAACCCCTAAAGTGTTGGTTCATAAAATTAAAAATTAATTACTAAAATTTCATAGTGCTAATTTTTAAGTATTGAAATTTTATGTGGTAATTGTAAATTGAGAATTTTTTAGTATTTCTTTGGATTTTAAGGAAAAAAGTTGAAGAGAAAAAGGTATATATTACTTAAAATGATAATTTTAATTTAGTTAAAATGCGAGTTCTGATTTGCCGATTCTCAATCCCAACCCAAATTAAGGTTGGGGTTATAGTTCTTAACCCTAAGTTACACCTAAATCCATCAATATAACTTAATGCTATATTTGGCACTTTGGATTTGAGATTGGAGAAAATGTAGCCCCCCAATCCCAAATCCAAGGCACTAAAAACAATAAATATCATTAAAATGGGACATTAGTTTCACTTGTCATTGAATGTTGAGTGCTTAAAATCCAAAGAAATACTAAAAAATTCTCAATTTACAATTACCACATAAAAATTCAATACTTAAAATTTCTTGAGAAAGTGCTAATATGTCTTGAGAAAGTGTTAATATATAGTCCCTTTGTGAAATTTTTTTGTACATGAAAACAACCCAACCCGAGATTAACTCGATCTTTTAAACTCGAGCTCAACCTCAATTCAAAAATTGAAGCACACAACTTGGGCTTGAAATAGAGAACTTGAATTGAGTTTTATATATTGGATTGAACGTAGATCAAACCTATAGCTCGTCCAAGCCCAATTACGATCAAGTCAAGTTTTGCTGGATCTAGCCCAACTCCAAGTTCAGGCTGCTCCAAACCTAGCCCCAAACCCAGCTATCCGTGGACTCCATTCACAGCCCTAGAATAGTGGGTCAATATACATCCAGACCTAAATTATTGGGCTAATGGGCTTTAGTCTAAATATTTATTTTCCCGCTCAAGGTCTTAATGATTTAAAAACGCGCTTTTTCTCACACTCATATTTGTGGAAAAAGGAAAATGTTTAACATTTTTAGCAACATATTGAGTCAGTTTTAGGATCAGGAGAGAGAGAGAGAGAGAGCGTAGAGAGAGAAGGATGCGGAAAGAGTACTTTTGGATTAGGGTTAGGGTTTTAAACAATGGGGTCCCCTGAATCTGATGACAAGATCACCACTATAGCCACTTCATCAGACTCCGTTGCAATCCATGTATACCAACAAGTTTTGCTCTCTCCCCAATTTTTCTTTCTTAAAATTTGTTCACTTTTTCTTTTTTCTTTTCTTTTTTTTTTTTTTTTTTTTTTGTTTTTCATTTTCTAGATGATCTATATAACTATGACCAATTTTGATATATTTCCATATATATGCGTGTGCGCGTTGCCATTATGTGTTATTGATATCGTTCTAATTTCTGGTTTAGTTACAGCTTCTGGTTTTTTCTATTAAATGGGTTTTTCTAGATGGATGTGGCTGTTAGTTGTTTGTTGCTCTTGGCTTGAGTTAATTCTACTTTCTTTTAAAACTTCTGTACGGAAATCTGTTTAGGGTTTGGAGGGTTTATAAATTGGGTATTCTGATCTGCTTTTACATTTGCTATGTTTTTGTTAATTGGTGTCAATTGAAGTAGGTTTTGGGAGTGTTTCAGTGGGTTTTAGGTTTATCAAGTAATTTTTTTAATTGGGTGTTCTTGCTTTTGCGAATTGGTGCCTGAAAGGAACTTTGAAAGCATTATATTGCAGTTTCTTTTCTTTTTTTATTTATTGGGCAAGCATAATAGTAGTTTTGTGTTTTTGCAAAAAAAAATTCTATTTATACTTTGAATACTGAGAAATTTGGCAAAAGGAAAATTTAGATGAAATGTTTAATTTTGAGATAAAGTCATAAAATTCAGAAAGTGATGAATGTCTGTACAAGACTTAGTTGAGTCTATTGTTTTATTGGTAAAAAAGAAACATTGTAGTCTTTTGTTCCTTCTAGATTCCTTTTTTTTTTTTTTTTGGCCAAGGAAACTGGAATAGAGAAACGGAAAAATGAATCTGATGATTTATAATTTTTTATGTTTAATTCTTAGGAAAACAAACAACTTGAGTAACTCTGCCAAAGTAAATGTAGGATGCTTAGCTGATTCCTGTGTTTACTTAGAATCAATAAAGTGACAATATGAGGCAGGCAGCAGTATTTCATTTTGTTCTGCTTTCCGCCAGTTTCTCAGCAGCAAAACAGAATTGTGTTAAATTTGTAGTCTCCATAAGCGACAAGGCATGAGTTTGTGCTTGCAATTGTGTAGATATTGACACATTAGTGGTGGCATGACAAATGGGGTTTTTACATTTAGAATTTTAAACATTAGACTTTGTATGTATACCGTTAGAAGTTAGTTTTATGGATTGAATATCTTACTGTGAGCTGCTCTGAAACCTGAATATCTTATTTCTTTTATTGTTTCCTTTGGTAACAGGATTCCCCTATTTTTAAGTACATAAGCAACCTATCCCCTATAAAACCTGTGAAGGCAGCACCTGTTGCACCAGGCTTTCTAGGACTTGGTTCTCCTCCAATTGTGTTCACATCACCACGTGTTAATCCACTCCAAGAAAGAAGTTATTCAAAAAGGTTCCATACTTCTTGAATTTTACTGTTGTGTTGTTTCTTTCAATTGAATAACATGTACCATGACTTGAGAATTGATCCCGTGAAAATGTTAATTTTTCATAGGCTTCAATACTCTAAGCCATCAGGTGCAGAATTAGTACAAGAGGATAATAAATGCAAGAACGATGCATCAGGTCCAGATATGTCTATGAAGTCCAATACTCAATTTAGCAGTGGGTTGATCCCTTGCCCTGAGAAGGAATTTGGTAATAATGGCTCTGTGCGAGATCGAGATGGCAGTCCCTCAGGATGTGTTGATGAATACTTGGTTGATGCTATGCAAGTGGACTGTGCGAACTCTGTTCATTCTGGCACTTTAAGTTTGAAACAATCTGATGATGTGCCTCAATCATTGAATGGTTTTACCAACTCTAAGGACTCAGTAATAAAACATGATAACAAAAATGATATAGGAAAAGATGCAGAGAAGGCAGGTGTTGCTTTTCCTGCCATGTTAGAGCAAACTGAGGACCTTCAAGGAAAGTTATTATTCAATGACAGTAGGACTGTTGACACCGACGGGAGGCAGGGAAGTGTTGACATGCCTTCTAGTGTCTGTCCAAAAGTTGAGTCTAATTTGTCTACTGTCCATGCTTCTGAAGAACAATATTGTGACTATTCAGTGGCACAGGTGATAACTGCTAATCCTTGCTTTCTTACATCGGATTACAAGGAATATGTAAAACATACACTTTTAGATCTTTGTTATATTTGAGCGCATTATGTGAATTTGCAGAACGCGGGAACTTGCTTTAAGGATGAATTGAATTCTATGTCCAAGTTTCAGCCGGGATATTTGCAGATCTTTCAGGAATATGAAAATTGTGATGAGACCGACCAAGCTGTCTCAAACAAATCTGTTGACTCTATGACGTTTCTTGATCCCAAGGTATAATTAGATCAATAGATGTGAAAATTGTCTACCAAGTTCTCTGTTATCTTGTGTTTGCTGAGGTGGATATATAGGTCTTGTTTTAACAATTTAATGTAGAGATACTTTTCTATTCATTTTGATTTTTAAATTAAGATATTTAGGGGGCATTTAGTAACGTCTTTTGCAATCTCAAGAAATCAGAATCAATGGTTTTGCTTTTTTGAGTGGAAGCAAAAAGCGGAAATGACGTTTATTAACACTTGATGTTGCCACAACTTTGAAAGTATAAAACATATAACTGTGTTTAATAAGGCATATTTGCAAGATTTACATAATTTTTTTTTTTTTATATCTATGTTACTTTAATTCATCCATTGGTATCAGAAAGCCTATAAATATGGGTATATGCTATAAAGTATTCTTCAGTTTGTTTGTTGCATACACTTTCATTAGCTCCATTGTTTCCCCTCTTTCTCATCCATCAATCGCTGAGTATTTGTATCCATGAAACAATTTTCTTTTGAAAAATTATACCAAATACAGAACTAATAAAATCCTAAAAATATTTATAGGTTAGAAACAATAGAATTCTATACAAATACAGAACATATAGCTCTGTAAAATATTCAACACATATGTAGTTTTATAAAAGATATCTTGTATGCTTCCTCATTAGTCGTTGGTCCACAAAATTCGTCAGTAATATAGTCTAGCATTACTGTGAACCATATCAAATGGTAAGTGTAAGTGTGTGTGTTTGTGTTTTTTTAATATCTTTTTGTAGCATACTCATATCACAGTGAAACTCATAAAGCCTGTGCGTATTCTACAAGTGAAATATTACCATCAAGGCAAGCTTTAAGACATTATGTGCAGCACAGTTCTAAACTTCTAGTATGGTATGCTTAATTTATCCCTCATTCAACATAAATAAGATGGAAAGAAGTTTACTAACATTGAAATAATTATATGTAAATGTGATTGGTACAACGGATACATACTTTTCATCTTTTGGTATATTCTTTTCATGATACATGAAATAATGTGCACAGCATCCATAAGAAGCCAAACTATACCAAATACAAATTTAATAGCAAATAGAAAGTAAAGAAGGGAAAAAAGATGTGTTTGTTTGGAATGAACAGTGCCTGTGTCGTAATAGTAGCAAAAATGTGCTTGCACTAAATGCTGAAAACATAGGAAGCATAAAATACTGCTTTCCTTTTTCTTCACAATAATGAAAAACTTTTTCAACTTTAGAAAACAAATACATATTACTAAACATGATATTTTTTTTTTTTTTTGTTTTTTTGTTTATGTTTTGTTGGCTTTATAAGGGTTGACAACAGAAAATAGGAAACGTTCTTGTTACTGAACTCCCCCTTAGTTATCACCTTTGAATATCACTTAATTGTGTGCAAGTTTTTTGTTGGATGTTAATCTCAGAGAATTTTTTGTTTCCAAATTTTCATTTCAACTTATCAGATGTTACTATACTCAATCTTAACACTGCTGAAAACAACAGGTATGGTGTTTGCCTAGAGTTAGTTCATTTCTTTAAAATGTTGCCATATGAACTCACATGTTTTGTATAGTGTTCCAAACATGTTCTTTGTACTTCGTAGTGTATCAAACTTCTTGTCCAGTTTCACATCTAGGTATTATTTTTACTAATAATTAATTGTACTTTTGAAATGCTCCAAGATTTTTTTAAACTTTAGCAAAGTTGATTGCATTAGTGATAAAACTTGACTTAAGATGAAAAAGGGAAGAATTACTGGAGCTTTCTATTTGTTGTTCCTTGTTGTTCGGTGTTCTGCAGATCTCTTCCATTTTTGTTGTTTTGCTTCTTTTATTGAAATGACAATAGAAGAATCTTTTGACAGTTAGCTCATTCAGTTGTGTTTCAGTAAGGATGGCTTCCACTGGGCATCATAATTATTATTTGTTTTTCATTTAATTTGTTGTTGGTTAAGTTCTTGGGAAGTAGTGCTAAACTTACTTATTTCAATGTTATAACATACAATTTATCTTAGGTCTTAGTTATAGGGTTTATAGAATTTGCTTCATTCTTAACATTTGTTACTTTCTTTTTACATTTAAGGAAGTAATGGTTTAGAGTACTAATGGTTCGTTTGGTAGGAAAGAAAAAAATTGGATGGAAAGGAGAGAAGAAGGGATGAATGAGGCATCCCTAGAGAGAAGAGACTGTGTTCTTCTCTTTTTGTTTGGTTGGATGGAAGAGAAAGAATAAGCTCTTGTTAGGAGAGAAGGGAAGAGAGAGTTTTAATTTAGGGTAGTAGTAATTTAAAAATTCTATAATAGCTCCACTTGTTTTCCCTCCCTTCTTCCGCCCATATTTGGAGGGATGAAAATTTGGAAAGGAGGAAGCATTATTCATCCCTCCTATTATCCGTTCTCTCCTTGTCTCCTCTCTACCAAACGAAGAAGTTTGGTTATTCCTTCCTATCTTCCCTCCACACCTTTTCTTTCCTTCCTACCGAACAAAGCATAACACATAAAGCAGAGGGAAATTATATTTATTATATTAGTTGGGTGCTATCTATGAAGGATGGACATGCCTAAAAGGTCGAAGTGTCTATATCGAACACGGCCCGACACACCAAAAAATGTGTCTAAATATTTTTCCTTTTGGACACGTGACAGAAATGCTCACAGCCTCACACACCGTGGAAACACGTGATTGGTTAAAAAGAAGATTTAAAAAAAAAAAATTTGAAAAAAAGGGTTAAAATATAAAGTATGTGGAATTCCTTGAAAAGTTTCAATAATATGGAGGTCAAAACATAAAATAAAAAAATAATTAAATGTAATTTGTCACGCAATTTTATTTGCTTAATCTTTTTATAGTTATTACTTATTACTTGTTTAAAATTGTAAAAGATGACATAGGAAATGGTAAGAATCTTGGTTTCTTTCACAAGCAAGCTTCAAACTTCAATGGATCATCAAAATTTGACTGCCAGTGAACCTTCTTTACTTTTTTTTTTCTTCCTAGTTGGTACTCACACAATCCCCCTTCAAGGAATTGTTTGCACTTAGCAGGAATCGATCCTGCAACCTGATGCTTCATGAGGCACCAGGGCCCAAGTCTTTTCCAATGAAGCCAACCCCTTGGGGTTAACCTTTACATTTAATTAATCTTCTTTCTTCCTATAGGTAATCTCTTTTGTTATCAACAAAGAGCTATTTTTTTTCTCAACACCTCCTTAGTTTCCTTATTTCTTTATTTTTTTCTTTCTTTAACTTAATCGCTCTAGTAGTAGAATTTTCTTTCCTTCTTTTCAACAATGTCCTAATTAGGGGCCTGATACTTCTAGGCCACTGGCCCGTTGGTAACAATGCCCTAATTAGAAAAAAAGGTTTAGAAGTTCTACTCCAGCCAATTCTCTCCGTCTCTCTTTCTTTCCTTTTCTTTCATTCTTTATACAACTGTAGTATTTTGTTTAGCTGTCGATTTAGATTACAACAAATTTTGTAAATGGAGTTTAGAAATTATACTTTAGTCCATTCTCTTTTCTTAGATGAGAGAATTGTTGTTGTAGTTCATATTCTTAATTTGATGAAAATTTATAGTCTTAATAACATATCATCACATATATAAAAATAATGTATTTATTATTCGCCGTGTCCATGTCAATTTTTAGGATTTGTCGTGTTGCATGTCTGTATCGTGTCCATATTTGTATCCGTGCTTCTTCAAGTGATACTTTTAACTATGTGTTCATAGTGTGGGAAGTGGTATTAGTTATTAGGTTACTGGTTTACTATATCAACAAAGTAACGTTGCTACAACAAGTTCATCCACTATGCATAGCATTTTGTTCAGGGTCCAAGATCAATACATAAAAGTAGACTTGGTTTCAATTGAAACAATGTCTGAACTGTATAGTCCACAATATTGCAATAAATGCTATCATTTTTTAGATTTGAGCATTTATTTCATCTTTCATATAGCTGCCCTCACAACTTGAATCAGTTCCCTAAGTAGCAAACAATCTTCTATGTACATGCTCTCATTCCTCCATAACATAGTAAACAATTCTAGTGCATTTTATTTAGTTTTGTTTATGCAAGATTGAATGACACTCTAAATTTTTTTTTTTTGGAGAATCTGTGAAGCTCTTGTACTAATATTCAATGAAAAGATGACCATTTGCTACAAAAATAATGATACAACATGCACGAGGTGACATCAATCCTAACTACCTTAACTAACTTCGAAAAATAGATAAAATAAAAATATAAGTTTAGACTAGCTTTGGTTACGGAATTTGCCAACACTAAGATGCTACTTGGTAACTCAATTCATTGTTTAATTCTAAATAAATTTAGCATTACTGAATTAAGTGTGTTTGACAATGTAACATGGTTACCACTTAAAAGAATTTCACTAAATGGGGTAAAACTTGTAAGTGATTTGGATTTCACTTTTAACTGAAAACTGAACACTATACATTAAAAAATATATCAATAAGATTCTCTATTTGATACTAACACTTAAAAATTCAACCCTTAAAATACAGTTCTTAAAATTTTCATTTCATAATCCTCAATTTTGTCAAATAGCACCTAAGTCCTAATGACCTACCAGATGTATGCTCCATTTTGCATTGGTTCACAATAAATCAAAAGGATATTTCGCATGCCAACTTATCTTCATCTACTGGCACATTGTTTTACGCTTTGATACATAAATTGATTGACATATGAATGATTTACTACTCAATTAGTTTATTCTTTTGGACATTTTATGATGGAATAGACGTGATACAATCAACCATTATGGATTAGTGGCATTAAATCTTTGGATCATTCAATGCGAACCATGCAGGCTCGTGGATTACTCTTTTCTTTTTCATTGCATTGGAGTGATTGCAATAGTTATTGTAGGTCATCCAACATCAACGTGGCACCCATAGACGTTGTCTTCAGTTCGAAGAGGCTCAACACAATATCATGGCAAACAGCCCTGGTTCGTGGAATCAATCAAATAGTGTAATTAGTTCAAGGTCACCTGCTGGTATGGAGAACTCGGAGGTTCTAGAATCATCTTGCATGGAAATGGGTGCAACTTCCAGCAGCAAGAAAATGATTAACTTGACTCAGCCGTCTCTTTCCATGATTTCTCCTCAAAGAAGTGGAAATTCTACCTTTACAGTTTCCAAGTCATCAGGTATTGGCTTGCACTTAAATAGTATTGTCCGTGCTGTGCCAATGGGTTGTGGGGCAACTGAAATCATGAAATCAGCTGAAAAGGGTTGTTTGAGCATACAAGGGAAGACGTCAGTATCTATTATGGGCTGTCATCCATCACAAAACACTAAGAGTTACTCAAATTTATCTAATGTGATTCAAAAAGTTTCAGAAAGAAACGAAGATGGTAGTCATGAAACCCAAGGCTTAGTAGCAGCAACTTCTGCCACTTCTCAGTCTCCCCACGCTGCTAAAGCAACTCCATATGATAAGAGGAAGTCTAATTCTGAACATTCTGATACTGTTGAGGAGTTAAACCAATCGAGCCCAAGAAAGAAAAGGCAAACCTGCATGTTCTTTCTCACAGTTTATCTTTCAATGCTTTGCAATATTTTTTACTGAGATCAGAATGTCCATATAATTTTGCAGGAAGAAGGCATTGAGTAACAATGAAAGTGATGGTTGCAAACGTTGCAATTGTAAGAAGACTAAATGCTTGAAACTGTAAGTGACTCGAAGTTTTGTCTTAGTCGATCTTTCGCTTTTATTGTGAATGATTGTAATTTTTTTTTTTGGCAGCTATTGTGACTGTTTTGCTGCTGGAATCTATTGTGCGGAACCTTGTGCTTGTCAAGGATGCTTCAACAGACCTGAATACGAAGATACAGTTCTTGAGACTCGGCAACAAATTGAATCACGAAATCCACTTGCATTTGCTCCAAAGATTGTACAGCGTCTCAACGAATCTCCTGCATATAGTAGTGTGGTACAATATCCTCAAATTTAATTTTCATAGGTACTTTCTTGCACAGCAACTTTATAATATTATCAACACTCTGCAGGAGGAAGGAAATCATTTGACACCATCCTCGGCAAGACACAAAAGGGGGTGCAACTGCAAGAAATCTATGTGTTTGAAAAAATATTGCGAGTGCTATCAGGTTTCATGTTTTGTTATTTCTCCATCCATGACATTCTTGTCACCATTTGTTCTTTTCATTTATTGACTTATTTTTCTGCTGTTTCTCAAAAGGCTAATGTTGGTTGCTCTGATGGATGTCGGTGTGAAGGATGTAAAAATGTCTACGGCAGGAAGGAAGGTAACATATTAAATGAAAATCTCCTTACTCTGACTTATTCCAGCATAATCATCATTATTATATTGTTACTATTGTTGATTTGAAAATAATGTTAAAAAGCAGTAAAAGGAGTTAGGATTCTGCATGTTAACCCTCTTAGAGTGAGATTTGTTTTGAGCTGAGGAACTAAGGTTTTCTTAGCTGTTATGCCTAAAATGAAATGTTACACAATCAGATAATTGCACTTTAAACTTCTTGATGGATAGAATGTGGAGTATATCAATGAACTTTTGTAAAACATATAGTTATTTTATATGTTGATGGATCTTCACATCTTTTTGGTTTTTTTTTTTTTACTGTAATCAAGTGTTAAAGTATTTTGGGATTGCAATGAAATGTTACAAACTATAAAAAGATTGAGCAATTATGATTGCAGATATTGAACTATAAGGGTTAGAAGAAGTAGAAAAGAAAGAAATTTCATATAAAAAGGATGTCCATATCTGGCAAAGCCAAGTTTTCACTTGTGTTTATTTTACTACTTGTATAATATCCTTAAATAAGCAGCACAATTTTCGAATGCATGATGTCTATAAATTAAACGTGGCTGGTTTCCTTTATAAATCTAAAGGAGTTTCCATCAAGAAAAGAAGGGAAGTGGAATTTATAGGAACGATGTGAAAAATTAGAAATCTTTTAACCAAGTACAAAACATTTTGATTGGTGAGAAAAATTGAGTTAGAGGATGACAGTATATCCAAGAAATGCCTTTTAGGCTTCTTTTACAGGCAATGTTGCTTTGTGTATTTTGGCAACCACATGGTATGCGATTGTTTATCTGGCAAAGCCAAGTTTTCACTAGTGTTTATTATACTACTTGTATAATATCCTTAAATAAGCAGCACAATTTTCGAATGCATGATGTCTTTAAATTAAACGTGGCTTGTTTCCTTTATAAATCTAAAGGAGTTTCCATCAAGAAAAGAAGGGAAGCGGAATTTATAGAACGTTGTGAAAAATTAGAAATCTTTTAACCAAGTACAAAACATTTTGATTGGTGAGAAAAATTGAGTTAGAGGATGAAAGTATATCCAAGAAACGCCTTTTTGGCTTCTTTTACTGGCAATGTTGCTTTGTGTATTTTGGCAACCACATGGTATGCGATTGTTTATCTTCTCCATGTAAATCATAGAAACATTTTTTTTTTCCTTCCAAATGTGGCGGCAAACTACCAGACCTAATCCTCCACAGTGAATGTCTTAAATTTTAATAGTTGTCGATGTTTACAATCTCTGATAATTGAACTCTTGAATTTAGCCACAAGAGCCATGTTCTACATGAAATAACATGTGGAAATTTTTTAGATAACTCGTTAAATTTTTTTTGTTGTTTTGATCCCACTAGTTATTTATTTATTATTATTTTTTCAATGTAATCCAGTTACCCATAATAACCTTAGATGTGATGGTAGGATGTGTGCTTGTTTTGATCCTTCACTAAGAGTATTATTTTGTTGTAATCCTGTAAGCTGACTGTTTGCCTTTTTTTTACTGTATCCAAGCGTTTACGAGGATGCGATGCCCTTCACATATTTTTAAGAAGCACTTGAAAGTTGATGCAACACTTAATTTAAGGAGAAATGTCTTAATTCATCCTCAAATATTCTCATGATTCGCGTTTACTTATCTTATCAAAAAAAAATGATTCGCGTTTATAGGAATCTCACAAATGCTCTAACTGTATGATGCCTAGCTATAAAGATGACATTTTTCTTTATACCCAACCCCACCCCTAATGGGATAGTTTAAACAGGATTTGGATAGGGTTGTAGGGCTAAGGCGGAGAAAAGAACTCCATGCGGGGTCAAGGAAGGGATTCCTTGCCCCACCCGTTAATGTATTTAATTTAAAATAATAACTGTGATGTTGTGGCCTGAATTTTGTTGCGACCTGGTTTTGGCCCCAAAAATGAGCTTTGTGTGGGGTTTGACCCTTTTTTCTCTTGCGGCTCTTGGACCATGTTTAGGACTCTCTTGTAGCCAAAGTATATAAGGGCGTTTAGGGTTTGTAGTGGAAAATGAGAGGACATTGAAAATCGCAAGTTAGTGAGTGAGAGAGAGAGAGAGCGCTAGGGTTTGGGGGCTGAGACTTGTAATCTCTTAATATTTGCACAATGAAATCTTTCACCAGATATTCATCATGGGCTTAGGCTTACGCCAAACTACGTAAATCTTTTGTGTTCTTTGTGTGGCGTGTTTACTTTTCTGTCGTGATTCTTTGTTGTGTTCTTGGTTCACAGTATTTGTCACAACAATAACCTTTAATTTGAATTTAATTACTAAAAAATATACCAAGTACATATATGCAACCTTAAATTTTTTTAATTTATAATTATCCATTAAGTTTGTGATACATTTTCATAGTTAAATACTTTAATCAAATGCTGTTATAAAAAAATAAAAATAAAGAACTTGGAAAAGAAATTGGGAGTGGGGCAAGGGTTGGGGGTTCTTTTCCGGGGTGTGGGCTTCCTTAAGATGCAATAGGGATATAAGGACTTATTTCTTGACTGGGGGCAGGTAAAGGGCCCCCTTTGTCATTCCTATACGCAACGAAACTATTAGTTCAATAGGACTTGGGTTGGCAAATTTCTTAGAATAAAGAGTCTGTAACCTTTGTTTTAATCTCTAGTTTAGATTAGAAATTTCAAAAGTTAAGAGTTACTCTCAAAGGTAATTGCTTAATCTTTTAGAAGGGTAAACAGGATTTTTAACACATTGATGAACTCACTAAATTAGAGCTCATGCATACATGCATTACGATTTCTAAGTTTACATTATTTGATCTTATTTGATTCTCAAAATATTTCAATCAATGTTATTAAAGGCCCAAGGCGCTAGAGGTCCTTTGCAGCCTAGGCAGGCACATAGCGAGGCGCGCGCCTGAGTGAAGTGAGGCGCGTGCCTGAGTGAAGTGAGACGCACAATTGAAAATTTAAACTACCATAATAACATTCATATCTCATGAGTCATATCAATATTCTAAAAATTAATATCAAATATAAAAAAGTAAATCCATCAACTATATAAGCATCCAACAACCATAAAACAGAACACAAATTTGTTTTCTTGAAAGACAAAGCAAAATGTGTTTTCTTGAATGGCAAAACAAAGTACAAAAAGAAATAAATATTTTAACAAAAAAAAAAATTGTTAACAAGAAAAAAAATTATGAAACAGAGCCAAAAAAAAAAAAAAAAAAAGACACAGAGAGAAGAGAACTAGACGAAGAGAGATGTAAACAAAGATAAGAAGAGGGGAGGTCTAGAGGAGAGAAAAAAAGAAAGAAAGAAAGAACTGAAGTGGCTTCGTCGTTCATCTCTGCAACTAGGGCTTCGTTTTCGTCTCACAATCTCATTCTATCACTGTTCGGTTAACACTTTGACTCTTGGGCTTTCTTATTTTTTTATTCTTTTGTACAAAAGTTCCTTCTACCGTATGCTTGAGCTTTCTTTTTTGTTTATTAAGTTGCCAAAAGTACCCTTTTTAGCTTAAGAAATAGAACAATCATTTTTTTTTTAACAAATATTAGTGAGGCGCGCCTCACAAACAGGATGAGGCGCAACCGAGGCGCCAGCCTAGTAAACATCAGTGAGCCTAGGATGACAACATGCGCTAAACCCGAGCCTTGAGCGCCTAGGCATGCCTTTAACAACACTGATTTCAATATATGCATAAAAGTGTTTTTGGAAACTTCCTTTCCGAATTTTTAAGTATAAAATATTGCAGTAGACTTTGATCGATCAAGGTTCTGGTTGATGGTCTCTAGATTCATGTCAATCGATCAACCTATTTTTCAATCAATTGGGAGTTTATCACTACCAACCATGTTCTCTCTATTGTGAGTTTTAGAGTTGCATCAACTATTTTGTTTTTGCATTCATCATATTTAATTTTGGTGAATGTTCTCCAATTGTGTGTTGACATCTATTGCTACATACTACTACTAAAGAGTTCAAAACCACTCTCAATCCATCGCTCAGAGATTGAATTGGACAAATAGTGGTTGAGACTGAATCTTTAGTGGAGAAGTAGATTGTTGAGGAGCAAAGCCTATTGATGAGTGGATCATGTGCCAGGAGACTTAAGGAGAGTTTGGTGAATCAATTTGTGTCATGGAGGTAAATAGGAGTTTCTAGAGTTTGGGAGCCGTAACCTAGGTTGTAATCCTTCTTTCTCATGGTGGATTCAGTATGCTGGATTAGGTCCCGTGGTTTTTCCCCATTAGGGATTTTTCACATAAAATTTTTGTGTCTTTTACCATTTTAATTGTTTATGGATGATAGATTAGTGATTTTTATATTGCTATTATAATTTAAATTTCTGTTTAGTTTGTTGAAATTTAAAAAGCGGTTAAAATTCAATGATCCAATCTATAAGCTCTATTCAGCCCCCTTTAGGTCTAGATAACTGGCCGTAGGTTCCGGTCTGAACTTTCAGAAACCCTCTTCCTACTTCTAGACTTGGGACCAGCTGTGTAAGGATAAGACAACTGAGTTATAATATTATGTAACTTAGGAGTTGATACCACTAGGCAACATGATCATGTTGCCATTTGATAATCTTGTAAACACAAGGTCTTGCATCAACTTTACACGTTCCCAACGATCTTAAGAGTACCTAAATAATAAAAATTGGGGATACCACAATTCAAGGGGATGGCATTCACCGACACATTGAAACATTCCCTATCAATTACTTTGTTAGCATATAGGGAATTATAATGTTCCCTACCAGTGACTTTGGTAGCATAGAGTGACTTATCAAAATGTTCCCTACTAATTATGTTGCGAACCCATATCTGGTAAGTCACAGAAATGCGACAATGCCCAAAAGCTGTGCTTCGGGACATTTTTCTCTCAACTGAAGGTGTTAAGCTCTAGAAAATATTGGTGTCAGGAGCAAAATTTAAGCGAGAAACATGATTTTACTCTTCTTCCATCATTCTGTTTTGTTGTTTTCG